TACGAAATATTGAAGGGTCAGTATTGGATGCAGATTCAAAACATGAAAACGTTGCTGCAGAAGTACAATATGTTAAAGGCCACGTTGAAGAAGCAAAAGAAGATACTGTTGATGGTACGAAGAGGATCTCCGCGATCCGTCCGCGTGACTACGGAGCTCGATGCAGGTATGGCGATACCGGAATCCGACGGTGAAGCAGGTATGCCGTCGGATTCCGGTATCGCCATACCTGCATCGAGCTCAAAGTAACGTGCGATAGTTTTGAACAGCACCGTGGAATCGCGGAACTGATTTATCTGCGTCCCTCACGCGATTCGGCGTCGGGGAAATACCAGGCTAGCGGGAGATAAAAGCGTATCTCTCCTTGTGACATTCGTCTTTACGTTAACATATAATATTAAATGCTATTCAATAATATGTATAAGTTTTGCGAAACGTTTACCGCTACGTGTTAGTAGAGGAAAGTCCTCTATCATAAGATAGCAGATTGTTAACGTCCAAATTCAATCACAAATCTTTTTTTCGCAACGATTACACGATCTAACGATCACTTTTTCCACTAAATAGTTTTCACCTCAATGGCGATAATTTCATGGTAAAACCAACAAATGATGCCTATTAATTTAGCAGAAACTCCGCTATCTTGTATTAAAAGTCTATGTCATAATAGGGGGACTTTCCTCCATTACTCTGCATAATTCGAGTACTCGTCAATTCAAAAGTAAAACGATACCTTTTATTCACATTGGTGTATGTTTGTAGGTTTTTGCTGAACTCGTCGAGACTTGGGAGATCTGCCACCATAACACCCATGCCCGAGATGAGAACTGCCGATGGTTTTTGCGTACCAGTCAGCCATAAACCAAATCCGAAGTTCAATCCCCGAACCTAACCATGTTATCTTAAATTATAGGTTTTTATTTTTTTTATAAAGGGACACCCTTTATTTCTATTTCTGGGTCCACGCGGTCAAGTTGGAAATCGTGACGTCAGAGACGAGATAATGGCACGTTGAGAAAATTCTTGTATTAATAAACAGCAGTAAAGTTGCTCATCTCAGTTGGTGACACATACACTTGCAAAATATGATTGGGTTTCGTGTCACGGATTAATGGAACTATTTATTATCTGTCAAGAGAAAAGAATAGTTCTCAAATTTATAATTGCGGCAAACGAACCAAAGTTTTCTTTTATCCAAATATCTTTTTATTTAGAGAAATGAGGGACAAGAATTCGCGGTGCGTTATTTTTCGCCTCTGACGATTTTTAACATGGTCGCAGCAGACTCTAAAGCTTCAGGATAAATATTTTCTTTGTTTATTTTTTTCTTATAATTATCTCGCTATATCGCCTCATTTTATTTATGTACAACGTGAGAACGTCGTTAATAAAGAAAACTGATCTTGTCAAACACGAGAAAAATGTGAATAATTTTTATTGTAAAATTCTAACGAAGATTATATTCATTTATGTATTTGTAAGAGAGAAATGCACAATTTGATATATTTCTCATCAAACTTCAATTTAATAAATTCAATGTATTTCTCACCAAAGTATATTGATTTATTATTTTTTATCATGATACATCGAGGTTTTTTCTTTAATATCACCCAAATTTCGTATTTGCAAATAAAGTACGCAGGTGACTCAACATATTTACAGAGTGAATCACTTGAGTCAAAGATATAACGTTTGTTACGTCTAAATAAATAATTGTATATTATTTCTCTCGCAATCGGTTAACAGCGTTTTAACATCTTTAGTTCGGGAAATAATGGGTGTGTCAACATTTAATTGAATCACCCTGTATATCATCCTATTAAAACTCGTAATGACATCACTTGGGGCCAGTTTCACAAACGTCGGTCAACTGTTAACCAGAGTTCAACTCCCTATCTCTTTCTATGTTATTGTCTAAATAACAGACAGAGAATAAATTAACCTTCGGTTAGCAGTTAACCGTCGTTTGTGAAACTCGCCCTTAACTGTTAACTACGAATTATTTATGCAATGAATCAAGCCACGATGAGTCATTATGAGCGGCGGGTTGGTTGCCGTAAGCTTCTCTCTCTACCCATAGACATAGTATATATAGATAAAATGCTACTTTTATGTTTTCTTAATGCGTTGAATACAAAAATGCTTCACGTATGATACACAGGACTAAACAATATAAAATTATTAAATTACATCAATATATTTATAATATATATTATATATACATATAATAACAGCGCTAGACTCGCATTCCATAACATTGTTTCCGTTATTATATCATTATAAATATTAAAATTGTTACGAAAAGAAATTCGCAACCTTTGCAGAAACCTTTACGAAATTTTTTATAGGTGTAGAAGTAGTTGGAGGTGAAAATGACGAAAAAAGCAACTTCTCAACATTTATAGTTTCTTCTGGATTAAACAACAATAATGGATTATATCGCCGGTAACTGGCAAAATGTATTTTAATTAATTCACGACGTTTCGACCAGTAATACTGGTCCTTCTCAAGTGTCACCAATTAAAAGTATTACTTGCTGTCACATTTAATTGGTGACACTTGAGAAGGACCAGTATTACTGGCGATCCACCTCTAACTATTCTTCTGGAATAACTTCGTCTTCGGTACTGTTTTTCTTCTTTGGCTTTAAAGGTTTATTATAAAGTTTCTTGTTGCTCGAAAGAATAGTAATGCCATGTCTATCTTTAAAACGCCGCAGCTAATGATACGTATCCGTGATACTGATTCCCATACGTGTTACAAGAGCATTGTACTCCGATTTCAACTGGTGATGTTGTACATAAATGTGCATAAATGTACATTTATCTACATCACCAGGTGAAATCGGAATACAATGCTCTTGTAACACGTATGGGACTCAGTATCACGGATACGTATCATTGGCTGCGGCGTTTTAAAGATAGACATGTCATTACTATTCTTTCGAGCAACAAGAAACTTTGTAATAAACTCGCAAACCCAAAGAAGAAAAACAATACCGAAGATTCCAGAAGAATAGTTAGAGGTGGATCG